ACCCCACCGCCGCCCCTTCCTAGGCCCCCGGGGCCAGCAGCCTGGAAGCATTCCCCACCCACCTGCACCCCAAAGACCCCTTCCTCCCGCCCCCTCCTCCTCCTCCCTCCCAGAGCCTGCCTCTCAGAGCCCCCTTCCCTCGGGGCCTGAGGCCCGACGCCCGCCCGCCACCCCTTCCATGCCCCGCTCACAAAGTCCACTCCCAAGATTGTCCCCCTTGCTATGCCCCCTCCCCACCCCGTCCCCTTCGCTACACCACTCCCTACCCTGTCTGGACCTCTGACCCTGAATGGTCCAAGTCCCCAGAGCCCCCAGACTTCACAGTCACAGCAAGGTGGGGGGTGCGTTGACACACCCCGACCCCAGTGTCCACCTGTACATAATTCCAGCTCGACAGGCCCCCACCCTGGAGATCCCAGCCCCGAAGTTCCATCCCTTCCCTCCCGAACCCCCAAGTTCCATCCCGTCCCTCCCGAGCCCCCAAGTTCAGGCCCTCCCCTCCACATTCCTCCACGAGTCCAGCTCGGTGGCGTCTGTCTGCCGGCCTTCCCACCCACCTCACAGCACCAAGCCCAGCCCCTTCGAGTTCACACAAGTCAGCCCTGGAGCCTGTGGGCACTCACAGATGGCCCACCCCCCACCCCCGTGTCCCTCAGCCCTTGGTGCCCTCTGGGACAGGTGTCCTGCTCCAAGGCCTTGGCCTCTGGTCCCTCAGAGACCTCAACCCTTGTCTCCGAGGAGCTGGGTGTGCCCACCAGCCTGAGCTGTCCCATGACAATCGGGCCAGTCATCTGGGAATGCCCCATCTCCACCCAGCCCGCCCCCCAAGCTTGCTGCTCTGAGCCCCTCTACCCGCACTCCCATTGTCTTGGCCACTTGTCCCCAGCTGCTTTCCCAGCCTCAGAAAAGAGGGTCCTGGGGCTGGGAAGGTGGCTCAGCGGTAGAGTGCTGGCCTAGCATGCGTGAAGCCCTGGGTTTGATGCCTCGGTACCACATACACAGAAAAGGCCAGAAGTGGTGCTGTGGCTCCAGTGGTAGAGCGCCTGCCTTAGCAAAGGAAGCTCAGAGGCAGCGCCCAGGCCTGAGCTCAAAAGAAAGAGGGGCCTGCATCTCTGGGGCTCCACCCACCACACAGGGGCCTTCCCGGGGTGCCGGCCCCTGCCCCGCATCCCCCCGAAGCCTCGCCCCTGTGCAGCGCCTGTTTCCATCCTCTCCACTGCCCAGGTCCCCTCCGTCCCATTTTCTCATTGGCCTCTCACAGCCAGCCCTCCCCCTTCCTCCAGAGTGCCCACCCGCCCTGACCTGAACCCCTCCCCGGTCCTCGGAACCCCCTTCTCTCCACGGATCTGTGTGCTCTGAGAAACCCTGTCCCTAGGCAAGCCCTCCACGCCCCCCAGAGCACAGGCCCCAGCCCCGCCCAGTGACCCCTGGCACAGCCTAACCAGTGCCTGTCCGGGCCCCACGGTGCTTGGCACATCTCGAACGTTGGTAAACCCCTTGGCCAGAGGGGGCAGTGATGCCCAGACACAAGGGGCTTGACTGGCCTCTCCCCAGCAGACCTAGCCATACCCTGGCGGAGCTCAGCCTCGGCGTACACCCCACGCAGGGGTGGGTTGACAGATCCTGGCAGGCAGCCAAGCTCCATGCCCCACTGATGGCCCTTTTGACTGCCCAGGGCTTCAAGCCAGGGACCCCCCCAGACCCTTGTTCTCCAGACTTCCCAGGGCTGGGCCTGGCTGAACACCATGTCAGCCTACGGGGGGCTGCACGCTATGCTTGTCTTCTAGGGGCTGTCCCACCCTCAATGCCTCCCCCCCCCCACCTTGTTATCTAGCTTTAGCCTATGGTTGCTCTAGCAGGTTTGGGGACAGCCCAGAAGCCAGCTCTGCGCCCCTCAGACAAGAGTGAAGCCAGGGCCCACTTCCGAGTATCTGCTTTGGGGGAGACCTTAGGTACCTCTGGGCAGATGAGTGAAGGGCTGGCCTCTGGTGGAGATAAGAGCCTCACATCTGCCAAGCAAGGAGGGTCCTGTTTCCTCCACACCCCAGAGCCAGGGCCCTGAGGCGGCCGCTGGCCTGGCCAGCCTCCTGCGGCGGTGCCCGGCAGTGGCAGAGCAGGCTGCACAGGTTGGGGAGGAGCAGCAGCAGCCTGCAGGAGGGAGGAGGGGCTGCGGGCTTCTGGAATGTGCCTTTGATGACACTGGTCTCCCCGGAAACTCTGCCGGGGCCCTGCTGAGCTCTGCCCAGCACCACTCAGGTTTCAGGCGCACAGAGCACTGGGCACGCGCTTACCAGCCTCAGCAGCTCCGGGAGAACCTTCCCCAGAGCAGCTGCCTGCTGGGGGTACCAGGGACCCAGAGCCTGAGCCCCAGACGGCCCAGGATCATGCCGGGACTGGGAGGGGATCATCTGCACTGCACCTGCTGGGTGGGGCTCCTGACCCAGAAGAGAACCCTTGCCCACAGACTCCTACTTGATGCCCAAAGCCCTCTGGCTGATGCCCTGGTCTCTCCCTCCCCAAGGCCATCTGAGGGATCCCATCAAACCAGAATGACTCCTGCTGCTCAGTAGAGGACCTCTGACCCCTGACCCAATGACCCCAGGTGGGTGCAGCAGCACCGGCTTGGCACAGGCAAGCACAGGCTACTTCCGGGACCTGGCGAGGCGGGCCGGGCTAGGAGGGGCAGGCTGCCCATACCACCCACGGCCATGGGCCACCCAGGCCATGCAAGTGCCTGCTCTGCCCAGGCCCCAAGAGGGGCACACGCGGGGCCAGAGGCCCCACCTGTTTCCTCCCAGGGCAGGGGCGAGGCTGGACCACCGCTCTGGAGACAGAACCTCCGGGTGGGCACCCACACCAAGACTGCGCCAGGCCGCATCTGCTGGTTGCGGCGCACGTCTCCAAGCGGCCAGCTCTTCCCAGCCACATCTCGTCCGCAAGGCAGGGCAGCAAGTTCGTGCCTGGGTCGCCTGGAAGCCAGGCTGGGGTGTCAGCCCCCACCAAGCTCACCAGCACCCTTCCCAGGCCTTACACAGAACACAAAGCACACGGACACCAACAGAGGCCCAAACAACTGTATTTGCCCGTGGGCTTTGGTTCTTGGCCGCTGGGAGGAGTGCAGCCACAGAGCGCCAGCCAGGCCCCGCTTCCAGCCCTTTCCACAGGCCAGGGCACGCGCTGGGTGGCCCCGCTTTGTCCCCTTGCTCCTTCCTGCTCCACTTGAGGCTCAGTGGCCAGGATCCTTGGATGGGTGGGGGTGGGAGGCACGGTCCAGGCCGCTGCCCCAGGCTGGGCAGCGCAGGTTCCTGAGGACTGCTGCCACCGGGTGCGGAGGACCTTGTGTCCAAGGGTGGCAGGGCTGGGGGGGGGGGGGGGGGGTCCGGGGATGCTTAAACCCAGCAGCTGCCAAGCCTGGGCCAAGTCTTCTAAGGCAGTGAAACGGATCAGGGTGCTGGACTGGCCTCCGCCCCACCCCAGACAGACAGACAAGCAGCGCATCTGAGGCCCAGGAGGGCAAACCACAGAACAGGACAAGGAGACCAGCTCAGCCCTGCCTCCCGGGGTGGGGGAACAGGCAGCGAGTGTGTGTGTGTGTGTGTGTGTGTGTACGCGCACGCGTGTGAGTGGGGAGGGGAAGCACAGGACAAGGCCTGGCCAGCCCCTCCCACTGGACCGTGGTCGCGCCGGCTAGAGCCGGGTGGCTTTGGCAAAGCCCACTCTGTTGCTGTCGCGGTCGAACACCGTGTAGTAGCTGCCGATGAAGACGTCACCCAGGATCCAGAGCGGCCCGCTGGGTGGAGGGATGTCCATGCCCATGAAGCCGCTCAGGCAGATGCTCTTCCCGGCCTGGGACACCTGCGGGGCACAGAGGACGGGAGGCTGTCACCCGCCCAGCACCCCGCCCGGAGCCCGGCCCGCGGCCCCCCTGGCCATGCCACTCACCTTGAGAATGTAGTCATCGGCAGTCAGCGTGTAGTCTTTGCCCCCGAGGTTCAGGGTGACGGAGGGCAGGCTGGACACCTTCTCACAGGGGACGATGTACTGGACAACAGAGGGGCACATCAGCATGCAAGCTCCCCACTCACCCACCAGCCCGCCCGCTGGCCACCGCCTGCCCCGCAGCTCACAGAGCCCCAACCAGCCCGCCAGCCTGCTCCCCAGCTCAGAGCCCCAACCGCCTGCCAGCCTGCCCCCCAGCTCAGAGCCCCAACCGGCCTGCCCCCCAGCTCACAGAGCCCCAATTGACCTGCCCACCCCCAGCTCACAGAGCCCCAACTGACCTGCTCACCCCCAACCGGCCCGCCAGCCTGCCCCCCAGCTCACAGCTCACCTCGCCCTGGATCAGGGGCACCGCGCCAATGGCCTTCTGCAGCGCCTTCACCTCCTCCACCGGGCCCACCAGGAGGGAGGTGCCCGTGTCCACAATGGCCTCACAGCCCCCCTGGCACAGGGTCAGCTCCTCGCCCACAGACAACCTGGAGGTGGGTGCAGGTGTGGCCGGTATGGGGTGGGGCTGGCCCCAGGGTGTGTGTGTGCCCGCCCGCCCGCCTGCTGGGACACCCCGACTCACTGGTCCATGTGCACCTGCCAGTAGGCCTTGCGGGTGACATTCAGGTAGGACAAGTCGCCCTGGTAGTACTTGGAGTCCGTGCCCCCGAGCATCAGCTCCCCTCCGGGCTGCCCGCTGGGGTTCCTGGGTGGAAAGGGGAGCATGCCTCAGTGCCCCAGCACGGGACGGGGCTGCACACAGTGCCACAAGACCCGGGGGCCAGGTCAGGGGCGGGCAGCCCCACCAAGGACGGCTTTGCTGCTGAGGGACTTCCTGGTCCCACGGGACGGGGTGCCCTGAGGGAGCGTGGAGGGCTGCTTCCCCGCCCTGCACACACTGCTCACAGAGCCTGCTGGGCTCTCAGGACCCAGGGGTCTGCCTAGGACCAGAGACTCAGCCACAGCTGGCCAAGGCCCAGGTTGAGAGGAACACAAGGCAGGGAGCAAGTGCCAAGACCAAGGTGGGGGCTGGGAAGGAGACAGGGAGCGAGCACCAAGAGCCCAAGGAGAGAAAACCCGCCAGCAGGCTCCTGGGAGGTAAGGCCCAACTTGAGAAGCTGAGCCAGCTCAGCCTCCCTGGGCCTTTGCACGTCCCCACCTTCGTGACTTCTCCAGCTCCTGGCTCCCCCACCTGTGCTCCCTTCCCCTGTGGTCTCACGCAGATGCCACCCCCGGTGCCCGTGGCCCGTGGCAGGACACGGAGGGCTGCGTCAGGCTGCTCGCTCTGAAGCTCCGCCCTCCGCGGGTGTCCCCAGCAGGGCTGGCCCCCTCCTGCCGGTGCCCATCCCCGGAAGCCCGGGCCTGATGCTGTCCTCCCACCAGAGCTCCACCCTGCTCCCGCTCCCGCCTCGGCCTCCTGTCACCCCTTTTGAAACTCCAGGTGTGCAAACATGACAGGTGCATGCCTCTCCTCGACTTGCTCACGTCTGGCCCAACAAGCCTGTTCGGAAGCCGTGGCCCTTCACCCGCTTGCTTCACCCCAGCCCAGCCCCACAGTTGGACCTGTGGGTCTTGTCTGGGACCTTGCTGGAAGAGGGGCCACCCCGCCCCACACCACGGCCTCCCTGCACAGACTAGGAAGGGATGGAGGAAAGTGTGCTGAGGGCAGGTGGGAAGCTGGGGGAACAAGAGCAGAACAATTTGAGCCAGGATTCTGCCAGAAGTGCCCCCAGGGCCAAGGGTCAAGTGAGGGCCAGGCCTGGAGAAGGACTCTCAGCACCGAGCACTGTGGTCCTGGAAGAGGCCGCTGGCATCAGGCCGGGCTCTGGCCGCCAGGGCCTCACAGACACCTGCCTGTGCCCCGGGGCGCAGCGGGCCTGAGCCAAGATGGCACAGGGCCCCAGTAACCCAGCCCCCCCTTCCAGCCTGACCTCCCACCAGTGCCTGCCGCACTGGCCTCAGGACCAAAGCGTGAGGCCTGCGGGGTCACCCGTGCCAGGGCAGCGGCTTGCCTATGCCCGCAGGGAGGGCCCAGGGGCCACGCTCCACGCAGGACCCGGGGCCCTGAGTCTTCCCCACGTGGCATACGTCTCTGATATCCCTTCCTGGTCCTGGGGCATCTCGAGAAGCTTCATCCCCCAGGTCCTAGCATAGACTGAGGCTCACAGGAGGGAAGCCTTGGCCACGGCCAGAACAACCTGTCACTGGGCTCAGGGAGCATGGGAGACTCCACACAGTCACTCAGGTTGTGACTGGGAGCAGTCAGGACCCTGGGCCTGTCAGACGGCCTTGCCTGTCCGGCAGAACCTGACCCTGAGATCAGAGTTCAGGCTGCAGCCCTGACCCCACTGCCTGTATTTCAGCACCTCAGAGCCCAGGAGGTCCGGCGCTGAATGAAGACAGAGAGCACTAGAGCCTGGCCCTCCCTCACACCTGGTCAGGTGCACCACGTGCTCACCTGTTCAGGTAGAAGGAGAAGATGTTTTTGTCAACGAGTTTCTGCTCCATCAGGTTGTCGAAGACCGGCAGCACGTTTTTGACAGAGATGTAGGGGTAGCCCATGCCCAGGATGCCATCGAACTTGGCTGCGATAAAGGTGATGCCAGGCTGGCTGGTGGCTTCGCCGAAGACCTGCCTCTCCACCTGGATGCTGGCAGTGGACGAGGACTTGCAGGGCACCTGTGGTCAGATCATGTGCAGGGCAGAGGTCAGCAGGACGCACGCCCGGCCACGCCCTCACACCTGTCCCCACCCACAGCGCAGCCCAGCTCTGCGACACCCCTGCATCTCGCAGGACCAGCAGAGGAGGGAGGCCGTGTGTGTGTGCAAACTGCAGGCCCAGGGCAGAGGGTGTGGCAGGGACGGGTTGGCACCTCTCCTGGTAGAGCTGGCAGGACTTCATTTTCACGAAGTACCTTCTAAACCGTCGTTATAAAGGTGGTGTACGGGGGATCCAGTTGCGCGAGTCAGGTAACGAGCGCGTTTCCATTTGGATGGTGCCCCCTCTTTCCTTGCTCTCGCCCAGTTCTTCCCTCCCGACCCACCCCCTGGCTCCATGGCCCCTTCTCCTCGTAGGAGTCCGGTGGGGACCACCGCTGCCTTTGCAAGGGCTTCGTTTTAAACCATGTTGGAGGGTGGGAGGGAGCACAGAGCATCGGACCCTGCTTTCAGCCCCTCCTCTCAGGCCACTTGTGCTCCTGTCCTAGGCTGTGGGGACACGCTACCCAGCCAGGCCTACAGCTGGGGCCCCATCCCTGGCCCCACCTGGGCTGTGGCTGCGGAGATAAGAGGCCAAGGCGGGATGGGAGGGGCTGGCTGGACCACATCCTGCTCACCGAGGGACCCCAGCCGGCAGTGTGGGGCACAGAGCCCCAAGGCCGCGCTGCGGCAGCACCCTTGGGATGAGAGGGTGCTGCTGGCTCTAGGCCTGACAAGCAGAGCCCAGGCCAGTCTGTCCCATCCCCCTGTCCAGGGCAGGGAGGGGTGGGGGACACCCTCTCCTCTTGTGGTCCCACATACGCAAATGGATCCACATCTCCCCCACCCATGCCTCTCCAAGATGACGTTTCTGACCGTGTACCTCTCATCCAGCTCCAGGGACCCGACCTCTCCCCAGGCTTGGCCCTGGGTACCTCCAGGCCGGTGGCTGGGAGCCTGGCTGGCTCTGCCTGGCCCCGCAGCTCCTCCTCCCTCCTCCATCCTTTACCACCAGGCACCGAGGCTGCTCTGGCCCTGGCGCGTAGCTCAAGCGGTGCCCCTCCCAGCAGGCCGCAGACCACGCCACTTCCTCCCCCACCAACGGCTGCTGTCAGCCGCCCACTGCGGGCAGCCGTCCCAGAGAGCTGGGCTCAGGCCAGGGTCACGGTGCCCTCGCCTCGAGCAGGTGCCCCGGGACAGGCCCCGGGCACTCACCGACACGGTGTCCTGGCTCAGGTACCCCGAGAGGCTGCCGGAGCCGTAGTGGATGTCGAAGGTCGTGCCGTTCTTCACATAGGTGTTGGACTTGGCACTGTTGTACTTGCGATGGATCCCTGCACAAGTGGGGGGCAGGGAAGGGGTGTCGGGCTACCACCACCCCTGCAGAGGGCCCTGGGCCTCCCCGCACAACTGCAGGGCCTACATCTGAGCTGACCTGGGCCCACACCCTGGAGCCCTGCCTTGCTCTGGGTGCCGTAAGTGGTAAGTGGCCTACGCTCTCCCCCAGCTTCCCCCCCCTCCCCTTGGTCCGTGCTTGGCCAGCTCAAGTGGCACGAGCGGATGCAAAAAGAAGACAAGTCCTAGGGGAGGGGGAGAGGTCAGCCTGTCTGACGGGGCTGAGTTGGGAGTGTGGCACTGCCTATGAGGTGAACTTCACCAGGCCACCCCCAGCATGCACCCCTCCCCGCCCCCCTGGCCTATCCCAGGAAGCCAGACCCAGCCCCATTCCCAGCTCCCCAGAGGTGGCCCATGTGCAGGAAAAACGTGGTGCGTGCCCACTCCCCAGGGAACCCCACACCACGTCTCCACCTCCCTGTGCATTCCTGCAGTCCTAAGGGGGCAGAGGGCACGGGCCGTGCGGTGCCCGGGGCATTGACTCACAGCAGGCCAAGTCGAACATGTGGCAGTGGACAGAGGGGACCCACAGGTTGGAGGAGCCGGTGTCGAACACGACCGTGAAGCACTGCGGGGGCGTCCCGATGCCAATCTCACCATAGTACTGGGCCTGAGGGCAGCGAGGTCGGGGTGAGGGGAAGGTTCCAGAGCAGAGCTCCTGACCATCCAGGGAGCGGGGCCTGAATGTCCAGGCTGGAGGTGGGGGTGCCCGGAGTCCACTCTCATCTACAGACTCAGGCACGGGGTGGCCACGCCCCGGCCAGGTGGTGTGCGGTGGGGGCTGTGGAAGGGCAGTGGCCCTGGGAGGAAAGGCCCATGGTCAGGCCAGAGCGAGGCCAGCCGGCCTGCAGACCCCTAGGCTGTTGGGGTCCAAGAACCAGGCTCAGGCTCCAATTCTGAAGGCCTTCATTGAGCATGGGGAGGGCCCTGAGGCCAACAGCCACTGGCCAGGGCCTCGGCGCCCCATCTTTCCCAGGGCCAAGCCTGGATAAGGGGGTTCGTGCCCCGCTGAGGACACACCTCATGTCAGAGGTGGAGGCTGAGGGGCCTGGGAGCCTGGGAGCCAGATCTCCACAGGACACTGGCTCCAACCCCAACCGTCTCCACCACTTGTTTCCAGAAAGCAGCAGCTAGCATTAACTCCTGACATGAGAGAAGGGGACGGGGAAGGGAGGGGGAGTGAGGTGACTCAGCAGCTGTGCCCGCACGCGCGCGTGTGCACGTGTGCGTGTGCACTTGTACACTCTGATGGGATCAGGAACTGACCTGTGCAGCCCAGACAGGCGGCCCCTCGTGCCCCCGCCAGTCACATGCCTGGGCCTCAGGCTTCCTGTCACAGGGCAGAGGGCTCAGGCCAGACAGGCCGGAGGGTATGGTCTTCTCCCACCCCTGCCCTGTGAGCGGGGGGACAAGGACAGTCTAGGCAGTTGGTCCTGAGAGAGCCACAAGGGCTCAGGACCGAGCAGAGGCGCTGCCCCTGGCCTCCCCCAGGACAGGCAGAAGACAGAGGCTCCAGCCAACTATGCTAGGCAGGCCTGATGAGCCACGTTCAGAGATCGAAGGGCAGGCTGGGTCCTCCACCCCACAGCCTCCAGTCCGGCTAGGGTAGGGCTGGGTCCTCCACCCCACAGCCTCCAGGCAGGCTAGGGTGAGGCTGGGTCCTCTACCCCACAGCCTCCAGTCAGGCTAGAGTGAGGCTGGGTCCTCCACCCCACAGCCTCCAGTCAGGCTAGGGTGAGGCTGGGTCCTCTACTCCACAACTTCCAGTCAGGCTAGGGCGAGGCTGGGTACTCCACAACTTCCAGTCAGGCTAGGGCGAGGCTGGGTCCTCCACCCCACAGCCTCCAGTCAGGCTAGGGGGAGGCTGGGTCCTCCACCCCACAGCCTCCAGTCAGGCTAGGGTGAGGCTGGGTCCTCCACCCCACAGCCTCCAGTCAGGCTAGGGCGAGGCTGGGTCCTCTACCCACAGCCTCCAGTCAGGCTAGAGTGAGGCTGGGTCCTCCACCCCACAGCCTCCAGTCAGGCTAGGGGTGAGGCTGGGTCCTCTACTCTACAACCTCCAGTCAGGCTAGAGTGAGGCTGGGTCCTCCACCCCACAGCCTCCAGTCAGGCTAGGGTGAGGCTGGGTCCTCTACCCACAGCCTCCAGTCAGGCTAGAGTGAGGCTGGGTCCTCCACCCCACAGCCTCCAGTCAGGCTAGGGTGAGGCTGGGTCCTCCACCCCACAGCCTCCAGTCAGGCTAGTGGGAGGCTGGGTTTGACTCCAGGTCTCCTAGGCAGTCCTGCAAAATTAAACAGCTTTCAACTAGTGGTCAGTGTTCAAGACACACAGGGAGCTGGATACAATCCCTACAACTCCGGGGAATACAGAGTGAAGCCAGACTCAAGCAGAAAGTGTAAGATCCTACCTAAAAGGAACACCCAAGAAAAACAAGTGCCAGTGGCTCATACCTGCCATCCTAGATACTTAGGAGGCTGCAGAAGATTCCATCTAAACCAACAACCAAAGCATCCACAACAAACAGGGCTGAGGGTGGATGTGGGAGTGGCTCAAAGTGCAGACTCCCAGCCCAGCAGCCCGAGGCCTGAGTTCACACCCCAGGACCACACCAAGAGCAAAAGACACACACAGGCAAAGTGGTCTCCACAGTGCCAGTGCCAGAGGCCAGCCCAGCCTGGCAGCAGCAGGAGCTCAAACGGCTGGCAGGATGGGGTGGTGCTGACCAGGGACCGGCAGGCAGGAGCCGGAGGCCCCGCCCACCGAACAGGTGCAGATCCAGGGAGAAGGGCGCCCTGCCGCACGAGGCCCGGGTCCTGCCCACACTCACGTCCATGTAGTTCTTGAGTATCTCTGGGACGGGGCCCTTGGTCTCCTTGGCCTCCCCGGGTGACTGCAGGGAGTACTTGGTGATGGGACCCCGAAAGATCAGGTCTTCCACGGGGCCTCCCGCTTCCGTCATGGTCCGGCGGATGGAGGTGAACTTTTTCAGGGGGATTCTGTGAAGATGAAGCAAGGAGATGTCAGACCACACCCCTCCTATCCCAGGCAGCACCCTGCCCCTCCCCATGCTGAGAGCAACTGCCAGGAACCCCCACAGCTGCTTACCGGCCTGTTCACCTGGCCATGGCCTACGCAATGCTCCTGCCCAAACCTGCACGTTCCTAATCAGCATGGCGGCAACCCTACTACACTCCAGGCTGCTGAGGCCAAGCTCACGGGTGGTCCCATCTGAGCCAAAGGCCACTAATCACCCCTAAAGCCCCACTGGTCTCCAGCCCTCCCAGGACACCTGCTCTGGTCTGCTCTGGGGTGGCAGTCCATAGGTCTGTTTGGGGGTGCTGGTGGGCACTTGTGACCCTAGATGACTGACTTCAAGGCATCTCACTGCATCTGAACCTCACATCAAAGTGGCCCCCACCCCTGGCTGGCAGTGGCAGCAGTCTGCCTGACTTCTCCAGGGGTTTCTACCGTCTCATGAGGTAGATCTGAGAACATCTACACAGCCAGTCTCCACATGGCTCAGGCTGGGGCACCATGGCCACCAGGGGCAAACCCATGAGCTCAAGGTGCCAGAAGCTTCTGTGTCCTTGTGTATATACCCTATGACCTGCTGAGAGCAGGCTTGGCTTGCAGGGGGGTACTGGAGGTGGTGCTCGGGGTTCTGCTATGCCCGGAGCTGTACCCTGTCCGGACAGGTTGTGGACTGGTTGGCCTGGCCCCAGAGTCTCCGGCCTCCTATCTCATTTGGGCTAGTGGATGCTCCCAGGAGAGCTTGTGATCACTCAGAAGCAACTTCTTCCCTGCCCAGGAATTTAAGTCCAAGGTCAAAGCTGGCTTTTCCTGGCACGCCAAGGGCGTGCTCCAGGAAGACAGGATTCTTGCCCAAGAGTGGTGGGCTGGAAGCCTGGGCCAGGTCCTGGCCTGGAGGGATGGACCAGAGATAACTAAACAGATACCACAATCAGTCCCTAGACCCAGATTAGGAGAGAGGGGCTACGGCTCTGCCCACCCCTAGAGGACTGCTTCCCCACCCCCACCATCCAACCTTGACCTTCCCCAGAGAAGGGTGGGCGAGGGCAGAGTGGGCCTGGCGGGGGCAGGTTCCAGCCTGTGGCTGTCTACAAAGCTCCCACGGAGGCTGCACGGCCTTGGGCAAGGCTCAGAGCCACCCAGCCCCCTGCCCCCCTCACCCAACTGCCCATGGGGTAAACCTCAGCGCGGCGCGAAGGCCCCACGTCCACCGGGCAGGGGGCGGAGGGCAGAGTGTGTGTGTGGGGGGGATCCCCAAGGCCCCAGCTCGGATGAACCGTGCCATTCCCCACGCCTCCTCCGGGCCGGGCCTAGAGTCCCTGGGGTGCCCACGCCCAGTGCCCAGCAGGCTGGGGTGGGGGGGCTGGCCCGGCCCCAGC